AGGTCTGATTTTCGTCATTGCATAAATAGCGCTCTCTACCGCGAGGATCGTGCATCATGCGTATTTAATACCGCAGTTCAAAGTATATGAACTTCATATATTCATTGTACCAAAATGTTAACCTATCAACACAATACTATCGGCATGCTCTGATTTCAAAACAACTATTCATAGACATCACTGTAGAGCTGACTTGAGAACACCGGAAATGATTGGAGACTTGAATTGCGTAAGTCCGCGATTGAAAAGTGGATCACGTGCACAGTGATAGGACTAAGACGGTGTAAAAATATGATTTGTTATTGTTAGTGGAGTGCGTGCGCGGAGAAGGCAAGCTTTGTTTTTACTCTGCGAAAGTGCAGTCGAGAACCGAAACAAATTAAAGGCCTGCATAAGCAGAGTTACTTGACATGGAAATCTATTTCGCTCGGCCAAACACCATCTGTTTTCTCCTGGTTGCAGCACTACTCGTTGCTTTGCAGGTAAGGTTACTTCATCCGTGCAAAGGTCAAACCATTTTGTCGCTGCAGTTCTCGGACTTGCTACTCAAAACTTCTTTTTTCAGGATGTTTACGAGTTACAAATTTAGTCTATCGTTCCTTCGCCAAATACTACTCCGTTTTCAAAACTGTCAGGCATTCGCGGCCATTTGTGCAACACACTGCATCTTTGACGTTCCTTGAGAAACGTTCTGAACAAGAAGTATTGAACATATATTACGCTTGTCATTTGGACTTTTCTGTACGGACATATCCTTTGCGAAAAAAATTTCCGAGGTAAGAAGTTATTCAAAAATTTAGACCTGGTTTTGTAAGCCTGGTATTTTGATACACTCAGGTCTTGCAAAACTGTCTGCGTGTGGTAGGGGTAATTAAGCTGGTATTCGATGACTTTCCGGTGACTTTTCAATTTAATACAATGATCAGGACATGTTATAAATGAGCACGTGGTATTTAAATGTACTGTTGAATATCTTGAATTTACTAAAAACATTTTAAAGAATCGGTTCAAGCTGATGCAAGTCAAAATAAGCTTTTGGATGCGCATCTCTTCAGCACAAACTCGATACGTTAGGCTGAAGACCATATTGGACAGGTTATCTTAACTGATCTATACAGTCCTCATAGCATAGCCTTTCGCGATCTTAATTTCAAGATTGGTTTTCGGCTAAAATACCTACAAGATCACCATAGGATATGATGAAAGTTGATACATATATACATTTACGAGAGGTGCATCGATTTTCGACTAATGGCAAGCCGTTTTCATGGCTTTCTGTAAAGTTTTAAGAAACTAGGTTCTTACGAACTTGTTCTCTTTGAAGAGTTTTTAGCGACGCTATGATTCTGCTTTTCTTTGTTGAGAAACAGTGATATGTCTTGCATTGAAGCAGGGGCTGTTTGGAAAAAGGTTGCGAGCAAACAAGTTGTTTGCCTTGGGTAGCTTGAAGGGTCATTACCGTCATAAAGCGGAAAGCAGGAAGCACCTCAAGGAAAATAAAAGATGAAAGCGAAAATCGATGCGTAATACTGATACACGTACTAAAAGGATTTGTGGAACTCTGATATGTAACTTTTCTTTAGAATATAATAAAAAAAAGATATACGATTGATCAGTGTTAACACAGGTTGTACTGTTGAAACGAGTCTGAGGCAGGTCTAATCTTAACTTAACTTACAAACAAACATTATGAAAGACAGCTGAAAACATCTGACAATCTAATGCAAATC